ATGCATTGCACGAAGTGCTAACAATAACAACCCAGTGTTTGCTGGAGGCAGGGTTTAACGGATGTCCTCTCGAGTTGTGGCTCGAGGGTGTCACCGGGACCAGCTGGGCTTCAAGCCCGTTGGGCCCTGGGGGCACCATGGACAAGATCCGTTTCTCGAGCCATGGCTTCGGACTTGCCCACGGAGGCCCAGCTCGCTGGCATTACGTGGCCCAAGCCATCGCGTGGGTAGGCCTCGATGCAGGCTCCTGGGCGGCCGTGGACGTCGCCATGGGTAACGTTCCCAGTCTCCGGATCTTGGGGAACATCCTGGCTGATGCACTGCGGCTCGCCGTTCACACCGCGCGCGTTGCCATCCTCGAGCAAGGCGCCCTGGCGAGCCCAACCATGTCCCAGCTAGCCCGCGGGGCCTTACGGTTGTGGAGTCAATGTAGGTGGGTTGCTTTGGAGGGTGGCGTGGCGCAAGGCGGACAAGGAGGATGCGGAGCTCTTCCTTCTATGCAGTCCCTCCCCCGATCTTCGCGAGGAGGAGTTGGAGGCGGTGGGGCGGCTGCACCTCCGACAGCGGCCCCCGCCGGTGCCGGACCAGATCCGGCCAAGAGGAAGATCAAGGTGAGCAGCGTGCTGGACCAGGCGGACGAGGCAGAGGTCCCGGAGCTCAACCGAGCAGAGATCGGTCTACTTTAAGGTCCTGGAAAAGAACAAGGGTGTTACCGGTCCGACCGGAGACCGAGCCTTCGCCGGAGCAGGTGTCGGCTCTCAAGGTCCGACATGTCCCCCTACGCGGACTTCGCTTTGTTCGTCGGCTTCCAGCACCGCTTCGCAAAGAGCCTCAAGTTCAAGAACCACATCCTCCAGCCAGACGGACCCCCGAACTACGACTCGTGGCTGGCCTCGTGGAGTGTGTTTGAGAACGCCCTTCTCGGTGCGCAAGGAGGCGGAACGAAGAGGTGAGGCGAAGCTGGCTGGGCCAGAGTGGGCGGCTTGCTGCGGCCCTCCTTGTGTGAAGTGGTGGAGGGCGTTCGGAGGGCCTTTGCCAAGGCGGCACGGAAGACACTGTCGTGGGGCACGGGCTCCTCGCCCGACTGGTGGAGTTGGTGGGAGACGTGCCCAAGTGGCTGGGAGTGTGGGGGGAGCCTTCAACGCTCCCGCCCACTGTGACGAGAGAATCGTGCTCCCGGTGACGTCCTCCCGGGCCCGTCCAGAGGAGGAAGTGGAGCTACTCAGCATCGACCCTGCCTTCTCCGTGCCAACGCCGATGCAGTGCCACACTAAAAGCCCCGCCCGCCACGTTCAGAACTGCCGCCGAAAGGGTTCCTGACTGGGGACACCCAAGCCGACGGGCAGGTGGGGGTACCGTAGTCCCAAGCACCCGCCGCCTGCTGGTGCAGGTCAAGGAGTGGAGGTGTTGGAGGGACAACTGTTGCGGGGCGCCGGCGCGGGAGGGACTTCTGTCAGTCTTCCCCGGCCCTGCCGGCGTTCGCCTGCTCCCGCATGCTGGCGAGCCTCTGCCTCTGCTTCTGCGACGGGCGGTTCTTCTTCTTCTTCTTGGATCCCGCCGTCCTTGGCGTTGCGGCCTTTGCCTCCTTGTTTGGGGGGCGCACGGGGGGCCACCTTTGGCAGGACGCGTCGTCTGTCTCGAAGCAGGAGCCGCAGCAGCAGGCGCTGCCAGCTGCAGCCAGGAGCCGGGCACGAGAGGCTGGCAACCTCAGTGCCCAGCTCTTTTTGGGAGATGCTGGGCTGTCCCTGACCACGGCCCACGCGCGAGGAGGACGCCGCAGGACCTTGAGCGTCGCCGCTGCCCTCCTCGCCTTCCACGCGGGGCTGGCCGAGGAGGTGGTGATGACGCTTGGCAGGTGGCGCGCACGCGAGGCGATGCTGTGCTACCTTCGCGGGAGGCGCCCATCATCCGAGCAGCCGGAGCGGCCCACCAGATGGCGAGGGCCACGGTGGGGCAAGCTGTGGCCTACGGTGCCGAGGACATGCTGGTCCAAGTATGGGATCACGGGCGTGAAAATCACGGGCTGCGGATGCAAGAAATTCGCGAAGAGAAAAGCAGGGAAGCGGCAGGATTTGTTGGTAGGGATGCGTCCCGGAAACCGGGTCCGCGGCTTCAAGTAGGGAGGTTATGGGTTTCAGGGTTTCCCTGGTTACCCTACCTGGGGTTACCTCTTAACGGCGATCCGGGTGCTCACCGCTTTGTTTGGTGAGCATCAAGAGGGACTGCCAGGACCCCTTAAGTAACAGGGGGAGGTTCCCCAAAGCTTCCCTACTCGTACCCCCTGCGCCAAGGTACGAAGAAAAGAAGAAGGAAGTAGGAGGTGAGGAGAAGAATGGCGACACCCCGGGGAAGCTCGTCGGGGGTCGCCGGCTTCTCGCCTGAAATTAGAGGTTGAGCTGTAAGTCCTGGCCCGGTTGCTGAGGGAGCCGGGCCGGGCAACCAGTCGAGCAAAGGTGCTCGCGACCAGCCGCCTCGAAGGAAAGAGTGTGTACGTGCCGGGCGGATGGGTGGGGGCACGCGAACAAAAAGGGTTTATACATATATATATATATATATGTAATATATAATATAATATAACATAATAAAATATAATATAATGTAACATAATATAATATAATATAGTATAGTATAATATAATATACTATAATATAATATAACATAATATA